AAAAAGAGGGAAATTTTATTATTGTTACATTTTAAAATTAAATTGGGGAAAAAGAAAAATATTGGAAAAATAAAGTAACAAAATGGAATAAAGTAAGAAAGTAGGAAAAAAAAAGGAATATATTTGGATAAGGAATAATTTTTAAATAATATTATATTAATAATAATTGTGTACTAAAAAAAAGAAATAATAATTGAAAATGGAAAAGGACAAAAGGAAAAATTCCGACCTGCCGGATTCGAACCAGCGACCTAAGGATGGCTATTTGGATTTACCAACTACAGTCCTCCGCTCTACCAACTGAGCTAAGGTCGGATGGTTGTGGATTTAGGGAATTAAAACTTTATATCCTGTATACAATGCCTTTAAATCAAATTATTGGTGTATATTATTTAAATTCCATAAATAAAATAAAATGCAGTTCGATTTAAAATAAATTTTTATATAGGATTATATGGAGAAGGGTGATTAGAAGGAATGATTCATAAATAAAATCCACAAATCAAAAAACACTATGAAATAATGAAAGATAATCATTCAAATTGCGTGACTAAATTTAAAATAGAAAATATTCAGTAATTGGGCGACCCTATAACCAATCAAAGTTATTATTTTAGTTCGAATATATGTACTTTTTTTTTTTTTTTACAATCCATCTTCTTTTTTATTATCATACTGAAGTAACTCAAAATAACAAAGTGAAAGAGATGTTATACAAACCCAAGCTTTTCCAACTCTAAGTTTCATAATTGAAGCATATTAGTTTAAAATACACATTGAAGTAGACCAAAAAGATATTTTAGCGTAAATAGGAATTTGTAATGGACAACTTTTTTTTTTTTTTTGGAGAAAATATGGCAAGAAAACTATTTACATTCATATTTATAGATCCGATAACTTTTGCAAATTATGACATGGAAGGCTATTTTGATAATGTTATAAATTAACAAGGGTAATTTTGGTAACTGGATCTAAATAATTATAGATAGATTTGCAGCAAGAAATGATCAGAAGCTACATAGAGAAGAATTTGATGGAGAAAGGTTGGGTTGGGTTAGAAAGGCCTTGATGTGTTTGTACATCTCCTTTGGCTTCTCTGCATTGATCGCATGCCCTGCTTCCTTTACAACAACAACCTCTGCGTTTTCCCCCAAGTGCCTGAAAAATGTCAAAATATCTTTGGTTCAATTTTTCCTACTGTTGTCAACACATTCAAATCACTTCTTTAAAGTTCTAAAAATTTGAAAATTAAATTAGTTTGAGAAATTATAAAAACAGATTAAAAAAAAAAGGTTGGAACAAAATTTATTTGATTTTCTAGATGTTAATAAACAATATTAAAGAAACTTAATGGCTTGTTGAAGTTAGAGTTAGATTTGGTAAAATAAAAAGTTTTAAGATTCAAATTAATTCACATGGCTCAATAAAGGGAAAAATGAATTGATCTTTTTCAGTTCTTTTATTTGGTTATCTTCCATAAATTTTCTCAAGGACTCTAACATAAAATCTCTAATCATTCCTATTTTATTTGATCACTAACACTAAAAAGATCGAGTTTAAGATCACTTTTGAAATGATAAAAAGTATTTTTAACATATTAACACATTACAATTTTTTTATAGCGTTTGATTAGATGATTAAAGTAATTTTAATCGTAAATAATTTCAGAAGCGGTAGAAGAAGCCCTTTTATAAGTAATTCATGAAAAACAATCTCAAACTCATCCTAACCTAAAAGATCTATCATAAAACTTAGAACGTAGAAGTACCTTTGTAATCTATATGCCAACTCTAAAGGAAATACTCGATCTTGTTCTCCCCATATTATCAACGTAGGCTGCATTGACAAATTCAAAAAAGACATTGATACAACATTACAAAACAAGTAAACTAATAATATGTTTTAATTTTTTTGAAAACTAATAATACGTTTCAATTAATCAAAGAGATATCTTATCATCATATTTAACTACTTATCGACAAGTATGCAATACTAGAATAGTTCAATGGGTTAAAACATGGAGTAACATTTAAATTATTCTACCCCACCATTTGTTGGTGAACTATGTAGGAAAAAAAAAAGAACTATCCACCCATATTCTCTCACTAATTTCTTTCTCTATACACTTTATCTCCCCATCTTGATTCTCACAAAAAATTTCCTCTAAATGTCTCTCAATAACATTTCACTTCTTTTATAAAATTTGGTGGTTTGATTTCCTCGTTGATAATTTATTTTTTTAGTAATAGCACATCGGAGTGGAGATTCAAATTCACACATTTTGATTAGGATATATAGTTATAGTCGGGTTGACATTTTTTGAAATACTATAACCAAACAACAAAATGATTTTTTAGGGTATAAAGTATTTATAATTAAAATGTTTATGATAAAAGCAGTTTAAATCCCAAAATGATAATAATGTTTGAAACCTGAGTGATCTTGGGAAGATTAGATAAGTTCCTGTCCTTGAGAATTTCTTTAATCAACTCTTCTTTCTCTTCCTTGTACTCTGTGCACATCACCTACCAGCAGAAACACAACAGCATCATAACAGAACTATTGGAACTGCAATCAACCAAAAATCTACACCATAAAAACAGATTGATCATTGATTTTATGTATATGAAAATGATTCAGAGCAGTTTTCGTAATAATTCTTTTGTTTTTTTATGAGAATACGAGTTCCAATAATTTTTTTCTCCATTTATTTTGATCTCATGAGCTTCTTTTCCAGACCAACATGACAGTTGTTCTTTCTTCGATTGTTTTTTATGTGAAAATAATGGTTTCAAGTGTAGAATAATTCAGATTTTGGAAATAGAAATATTACAAATCATTGTTTTGTTCTTGAAACATGATTAGCCCAGCTATTCTGATCAGAATGCTGTTCTAAAATTTGTTTGGTAATACGAAAATTATAAGGTAACTTACCCTTTTGTAATAAGAAAACTGTTTCTGGAAATCATTCCTTACAATGCAAAAAAGTTTCCCAAAACTCCAATGTGATACAGAAAATTAGTTCAAAATGTCAATCAATTTTCTGTATGAATCATCCCCAATTCGACAAACGAACAAAAACCCAAGAAGAAGACAAATAATAAATCTATAAGAACCACTTACATCGATGAAATCGTCGATTATACAAGTGGGCATAGTCCGAGCAGGCTTGACGAAGGTGAGGCGGATCAATTCTTTGAGCTTCGCCGGCGTTTGAGGCAGCAAAATACTGGCGGCTTCATCGACGTTCTTCACCACGAACATCCCGTCCGCCATATCCTTCTCTTCCAAACAAACCCCGGCGCAACAGAGCACGACTTTCTCCAATCGCTCCGGAAATTGCGCGGCCATACTGTAGGATACGAAGCCACCGTAACTAATTCCTACGACATTCGTCGTCTGAACTTCAAGCGAATCCATGAGACGCATCATACAGCGAGCCTGAAACGACTCGGAGCGCTCCGGTCGAGTCGTGTACGAATTGCCGAAGAAGATTAGGTCAGGGACGTAAACGTTGAAGAATCGAATCAGCGGCGATATGAACTCGTTCCATTGCCACATTGCGTTTGCCCCAAATCCATGGAGGAGCAGCAAATTAGGCTTCGTGTCTTTTCTGATTTTGGGCGCCCAGCAGTGCATGATCGTTCCATCGCCGAGATCGGTGGTGGTGGATTTGAGCCCTGCCCTAGAAAAGGAGTACCGGAAACACGAGTCCAAGGTAGAAGAGAAACTAAAACAAGCTGCCATTATTAGATTCAGAACAACGAAATTTCCTCGATATTTTCTCGATCAGCGAGAAAATCCGGGAAAAATGGTTGAACACAGAAGAAATTACAAATTCAGAAACGGGGAAAAAGTAGAGATCCTTTTCGGAATTGGGATTTGGGAATCTGTATTGAGCGCACGTAAGGAATTTCTAGTTTCTTCGGGAGAAGAGAAAAGGGAAATTTCTCCCCATTTGGGGGAGTTGTTGATTCTTGAAACAGTGAAAATTGGAAGGCAGATTGAGATTAAATAATTGGATGCTCGACGGATTTATGCGCACACGATAAAGACGGCCACGAACAAATTTCGTTCTCCAACCACAAGCCTGCCAAGCCACGCCCAGATGCCACTTGTTTTGTTTTTTGAAGACCTGTTAAGGATAAATTAAAAATGACAAATAAAAAAAAAACACGGTTTTTTTTAAATTATTATTATTATTATTAGTAGTAGTACAAACGGTTCTTTTAGTTCAGTCTATAATATTATTCTATTTTTAGCATATTTTGGAAATTTTACCGTTAGTGTGTGGGTATCTATGCTTTTCAAATAAAAAGAAAAGAGTTATTTATTTCTTTCAAGAAAAAACTTCACATTTAACAATAATCAAAATGGCCATATAGGCTACACACTCATTTTCATCTAAGAAACTCAGCCAAGGAGAAAAATCTCTTATCCACACCATTCAAAGACATAACATGAGAGACTAAATTACTGGTAAAAAATTTAGAAGACTCCTTTCACCGACACATTTGCTTTGATATTATAAGAGAAAACAACTTCATTTCTACGGTTAATCTTGTCAAATCAAATTCAACGAAGATTTGATCAAACCTTAACTATTTAGCAAAAAGGATACTTTCTCTAATTACTACAAATTCAACCATGAGAGGGCTTAGAACTACTCCAACATTTTTCACCAAGCTGCCACTAGACAGAATCATTTCTCATACCAACCGCAGCTTTTGAAATGAGCTTTTTGAAATAAAAACATCATCCGTATTTAATTTGATTCATTTAGAGTAAGGAAGAAATCAAATTAAGTGACTTTTTGATCGAGTCTGATGACTTCTAAATTGATTCATTTAGAGTAAGGAAGAAATCAAWTTAAGTGACTTTTTGATCGAGCCTGATGACTTCTAAAGAAAAAGAAAGAAAGAGTTAATGCTTCTATTTTTTAATTACTAAATTATGGTAAAATATTTATTTATAAAATATATTTTTCGCAAAATATTATTTGTTTAACTGTTTATGTACACTTTTTCGGGGGAAAAATAACTACTTATGTACACTACACTCCATCGACTGTACAAAAATTTAACACGTTTTTGTCCCACTGTCTGGGCTCAGCCCAAAAAGAACACACAAGCCCAAGCCCATCCAAACTGAAAATACTGTTTGGATTAGCCTTTTCCACGACCCACAGCTATTCTATTCTAAATTAATTTTTGGTTAAATTACAAGTTTAGTCATTAAATTTTTTAAATTTGTACCTAATAGATCTCTAAATTTTAGAAATACAAGTCTTTCGATTTTTAATTTTGTGTCTAATAGATTCTTAAACCTAACAAAAATATTTAATGGATCTTTGAACTTTCAATTTTGTGTCTATATATTTATGACATAATAGACATATTTAAAGTTAAAGTTAATGAATTTGTTAGACATAAAATAGATCTTTTTTTCTCTAAWAGAACTCTAAAGTTCCAATTTTGTTGAATAAGTTCGCAAATTTAAAAAAAATGCAGATTATGTTAGAAAAATCTATTAAATACAAAATTGAAAGTTGGATGATCTATTCGACACAAAATCGAAAGTTTAGGAAATGATTACACAATTTTTAAAGTTCACATATCAATTAGACACAAAATTAAAATTTAGAAACATATTAAACACTTTTTAAAATTCACGAAAGMCCTTGAGGGAGGTAAGTAATGGGACTGATCGAGCAAATAGTATATATTCATGTTTTATTTGTAAACAATATGTACCCATGCAATTATTTATTTATTTAATTTTGGCCAATGGGCTAATAGTTGAATCGACTCAAACACGACATAAGTTAGCAAAACTCGATAATTGCCTGTAATCCATATCTAATATAATTAATGGTCGAATCAAACCACCAAAATTTGACTTTGAGTAATATTAAAGCTCCATGAGCTTGAATTAGCCTTTAGACTTCCGTTACTTATGATATTGAATTTTGACCTTCAACTCAAGTTTTAATATTAAATCAGTACGKTCATTAAAATGTTTGATCACATTAATAAGTTTTGATACTTCAGTAGAAGTGAAGTTGGGTGAGAGTATATTTTTGTTCGGAGTGAAATATACTAAGTTCATGTGAAATGACATCACACAAGTAATGTGAAATAAATGGTCTAAATTAAACCTATCAAAAGTACGTTTCATATACAATTCTATTTTTTGCTATCCTAAATCGAACTCTTTGTCTGACTTTTACAGAAGCTATCTCCTAATATTTTGTAGCATCGAGAGAAACCTAAAAACAATCTGAAGGAACTTTGTCGGGATAATAGTTGGAGAAACCGAGTAGGGAAGGTTCTTCCCAACGATTAAGGCATAGCCAGAAAAAAATACCTTTGCCCGAGGATTTAAAACAGTCGGGCAAAGTAGGTATTTAATTATTAAACTTTGTTTTCTAGTTATGACGATTAACTTTTTTTTTTCTTTTTCTTTCTTTTATTAGAGATGATTAACATTTAAGACATGTATTAAAATATTTAACTAACTCAGCTATGGGGTAATTTTTATTAATAAACTTTGATACCAAGAATAATGAATTTTACCCACCCACAAACCATTTAAGCGTTTTGACCAGTGACTTTTAAATAAATTTATTTTTAAGCCACTTGGAATTTGTAAAGGAAACGTCAAAATTCAACAATCAACCACCCATTTTGAGCTCATAATCATCAAAATCTTGACCACTAACCATGATTTTATTTGGAACCCCTTTAATTAGAGTCTAGGTAGTATGGCTGCACTTCCAATCAACCTGGACAGAAAGATGTAACATGTCTTAATTATTAARCTAAAGTTCTTGAATCTCATAAATATCATTAAATTCTCTTTGAATCTCGTCGCATATTTTAGGATCTAATCATGATTTAATATTTGTTTACTTAAGATTATAATATATGTTAAGTATAGAAGAGTACGACCCTGCACGTGGCAAGAGGTCATAGATACTTTTAAGAGAGAAGTTGATGAGGTTTGTTACCTCAGACCTCAAAAGAACTTTTGGGACAACGACGTCAGTCGTCACATGCCCCGATGTCGAGGTGGTAACCCTAGCCAACCATCGTCTTACTATGACAGTTACTTAATTGTACTATAATTCTTGGTAAATGTCCAACTTCTAAGTGGGCTTTAAAGTGTTGCCATTATAAATAAGTGATAAGTCTCATATGAAACACTAGATCGACTCGAGATCATAACCTTATGAATTARTGACTTGAGCGTTAGAGTATAATTTTTCTTTGGGTCAGATTTTTCAAACACTTTAGAATACCTTTTTGACTTCTCTCAAGATCAGATTAATATATTCTTAAAGAATTGATAATCTGCATATAGTTCAATAAGGTTAAAAATTTACACATCTCCACTGARCTAAAAATGATTGAGAATCTTTTCCTATTTTAGTATTGATTCAATTTATTTAGTTTATTATTGGAAAGAAATGTACTATTTGGAAAAAGAAAGTGGGAAATACCTTTCTAGAATGTCTCCCCAATTTCATAAAAAGATCAACTCTTAGATAAGGCATTTGATTTAGAAGTCCAAAATAAAGACAAAGCTATTTCATTAATCATGTCTCTATGTTTGTATGTGTGTTCGTTTTTAGAATCAATTATTAAATAAATGAATACAAACAATTCTATGGAATGTGACTCCTGCAATGCATATTTTATATTAATCTTGTCTTTATAATTTAGGTTTTAATTTTACCTTGAAACGTTTTAAAATTTTGAACTTCAACTCAAATTTTTATTTTAAAAGTTTTTGTTAGAAATTTATGTTCAACCACGTAATATAGAATACTAGGTTATTTAAAAGATGGTGGATTGAATTGAAGATCTCATTTAATAACAATTTTTTGTTTTTAAAAATGAAAATACTTGGCTCCTCAATAATGAGGAAAAAACTTTATCTTCTCCATCATTAAATTTTTGACAACTAAAAGAGAAAAATACAAAAATAAAAAATTTTCTAAAAATAATAATAAGTTATCAAATATTTAATGGATAAGACGAATCTGAAAAAAGTTAAAAAACACTGCCTTTCTTAGCCTAAGTGTTTTATTTTTTATTTTATTTTATAACATTAAAAAAATATTTTCAAAATCTAAACCAAATTTTGAATACTAATTTTTCAAAAATCAGTTTTTGTTTTTGAAATTTGATTAAGGATTCAAATGATTTTAAAAACAGTAAAAAATATACTAAAGAAATTGTAAGTACAAGTATAAATTTTTAAAAACAGAAAAAAAAWAGTAAAATCACTATCCAACGGCCACGCCATACCTAACTTATGTAAATGCTTAAATCGYATTCAATTCTAATTATATTTACCCATGAATTATAATTTAATAAAAAATTTAATTGTGTCGAACACATGAATTAAAAATCATCATAATTAAAAGTTTGAGATATGATTGGAATATTTTAAAAATTTAAAACTAAATGGGTACAATATTAAATTGAAAGGATAGGGATCAAATTAGGTGTAATTTAATAGCCTCAAATCTATATCATAATGCAACTGGCTGAACAGAATATGACTATTTCAATGCAAAAGTGATGTGATTTGAGAAATTTGTATGATAAAGATGAAAGAAAAGGGTCCCTCTCTCTCAAGTMTCATCATTATGAATTTAGGAAGGATATATATGTCAAGATAAATTGGAAAATTGTAATTTGTATTAGTTTTTCCTAGTCATATCCTTTTCATAATTAATAACATATAATTGAAAATTAAGATCCCATCGTTGCTTTTTGTTATTTATATTTTGAACAAAATTAAAAATGTGAAAAGAAATTTAATTGTGTTTTTTTAGGAAAAAAAAAAAAGAGAATGCTGTGCTAATATTARCTACTACTTTATCTTACCTTTTTTTAGTACAATAAATAGGAGTGAGGTGGAAAATGAATTTAAACTCATTACTTCTTAGTCTAATACAAGTGCAATCATCRCCAAGTTAAGTTTATATTGACCCCTACCTAAAGTTAGTCAATTTAACAGAAGTGGAGTAGAACGAGGATTCAAACTCATAACTTCTTATTCAAAATTTTCATGATATTTAATTACATGGTCAAAAATAATTTTTGAAAATTCTTAAAATGTTTATAAAGTATAGAAAAAGTATTTAGCTACTACTTCTTCTAAATGTGTTGACTGGAAAACAAATTTCATTTAAAATCACAATTATTAAAAACTATCCCGAACTCTTGTGGTTGGAATTTTTGAATAAAATTATTTTTATTAAAAATGAATGACCACAGCTTTTCATGAAATGATATGTTTTTTTTAAAAGACACAACCTTATATGAAAGGATACGTTTTTTTATCAAAAGACGTAACTTTATAGGAAAAGATGTAACTATTTGAGTGACCATAAATATTCTATAAACACGTGGCTCTTTTCAGTTTTGAAATAGAGAAAAATAATTTCTCCTAAATTTCTACTTCTCTTTTCTCTATACGTTACTTTAATTACTGGTATTCATTGAGTCATATGATTAGAGTGCTGCCGTCACAAGTTGACAAATTCGTCCTATTCTGAGAGATAATTATTTGTGAAACTTTGAGCATTATAGAGGGAACAAAATTGTCTTAAGAAAACAACGCTACTGTTGAGTTTAGAGGACTTATTTTCAAGTTTTCTTAATTTCTCTACACATTTGCTCCCAACACTTACTTCTAAAGAATTTTCAAAGCACTCAATGTGTAGTTAAATATGATGACAGATTTGAAAAGTGTTTATAAAAGAAAGATTCGGAGGGAAAAAAATCTACAATAAATTAGATTTCACATATTAAAGTATCACCAATGGCTATAATTAGTATTTAAAAACAAGGATTCATAATGTGATGCTTATAAACAATGCAAAGACTCTGAACAACTTGAATGCTATAAATTTAAGAAAAAAAGGATTTAGAGCGAATCATTGAGGCTTTGGCTTTTGAGGTGGCGTCGAGCAATGCTAATAAAACTTTTCCTTTGGGGCAAGGATGATTCTAATTATATTGTTGGAATCATGGGAATGGATAACTACAACATTTATGAAAATTCTACATATTCTATAGTTGTACACGTTCTAGAACTTTTTGAAATATGATTTTAATAAGCCATCATGTTTCAAAATGTTGTTATTTAAATATTGACGTGACATACTTACTGGTTAGATTAATGAATGATGATATTGATATAATGCGACATAGAAGAATATACCAATTATATAAAATAAGATTGGCGAGTAAAATAATTAAATACAGTCGATAGAAGAATATACGTTCATCTCGAAATAGCCTAGCTAGAAAGCTAAATGCTTCAACGAAGAGAACTTTGAGGTAGTCTCAATGCAATGAGCATAACGCTCCTAAAAAAAATGAAGATAGTATCAATAAACTAGTCAAAGCCATAAACCTCATCCATCGTGTCGATGCTGATTTCTGGAAGGTACGAGATCTTTGGCAAGCTGACTGGTCGAGTTGTGCAAAGCGAGCTATGTAAAGAGACTTTGCATGCAATAAACAAACACTTCGACGCTCAAGTCAATCTAAAATTCGAGCTAATATATCGATTCCATATAGAATCACTTACATGTGAGCGGGAATGATGAAATATTTATAGGAATTGGGGGAGACCAATTCCATTAAAGAGAGTTTGCTGCTGAAGTTGTTACGCAGCTACAGACAGTTCCACTATGCAATTGAATTCTTAGCTCATATGAGATAGAGCTAAGGAGCCATTACCCATATGGGAGTTCAAGTATTGACCATGGAACTCCGTAGTTTGACATTGGTAGTTCGAGTAAGACGAATTATATTAGTCCACGTGGTAAGCTATATTTTATCCTCCCATGCATAAAGTCCATACACAATAAACAAACCGGTCAATTAATCATGATTCAACCCGTTCAAAATTCGATTTAAAAAAAACCACTATTTAGTATATCCAACTCATTCTTTGACATAATTATTATTCCCTCCAAGAAACAATCCCTCTTTGGAATATCCCTATGGCAAAGGTTACCTAATGTGAACATAAAGCTCTTCCTTGTTCCTTCACTATTTAGTTTAGAATGACAAAAACGTTTAAAAATCATCCATCCTTTTTGTAATTTTGATTAAAATACCTATCATTTAATTATTACTGAGAGTTGTATTTTGTCAAAAAAAAAAAAAAAAGGTTTTTTACGTTATTTTATCAACTGTAATTTCTAGGAAAAATTAAAAAAATAGTGAGTTTCAAAGCGAGAGAATTTTCTCTTCCAATAGAGAATATGTCAGACGACTCAGACCTAATCCCTTATTTAGACAACACCTACAGCTACACACTCGAATAAATAAATAAATAAATAAATAGAAAAGAAAAATCAGTCAACGATAAGTCTGAGTCGTGAATTATACACACGGTGGGGCCGGTAAACTGCCAGATCAGCAATTTGCCACCATGAAATGGACCGTAATAATAAATAAGAATAAACCTTTTAAAAAAAATTAAAAAAAGACCCGCTTATTTTACAACCTTTATCCAAATTAAAAAAAAAAGATTATGAATTAATAATTAATAAATAATAAATAAATAAAAGCCAAAGGACAGAAGCTTTAGCAATGGCAGAAGATTTGCTGAATGTGCTGCAGCTCCACTTCACGCAGCAGCAGACGATTTGGTTTCCAGCTAATATTCTACTTCTCTGAGCATCATCTTCCTTCGGTGGCTCTCTTCTTTTCAGCTTTCCAGTTCTTGCCCCTGTTGATTTACAGGTCACGAATCTTGAGGATCATTGCCCTCCTTCCGCTGCCCCAAATCTAGTTCTCCCTCTTAGCAGGTACTTTATTTTGGAGCCTCTCTTCTTAAATTTGACCATATCTTCGTCTTTACTTCCMGGTTCTCTTCTGGAATTTGTTGATTTGTGGTTTGATTTTTGTTTCTTAGCTGTTTCTCTCGCGTTTTTCTTTTCACATTTCTCAATCGTTGATATGCTGCGATGAGAGCGATTTCGCTTGTGGCAGAGATAAGTGCAGATTCATTTAGAGAAGGGTTCGAGGATTGGTTTGATGGGTAATTGGAAAAATGATAAATTTCAAATTAGATGTATTCAATTTATTTCTAGAAATGCGTTTGGTTTCATTTTAGTCCTTGAGATTTGGTTTGTATTTTTTTAAAAAAAGAAATCGTAATGTTTAAATATTGGAAGCATAAAAAAACATGAATTTTATATAGTTTCGATTTAATGCAACTTAAATTTAGTTATATTATTAGATTAGTTTTTAAGTAACCGAATTTAAATTCATAAAAAGGAGTTATTATATTGATCAAAGTCATTAATTGTTGACTAATAYATTTTTTTTTAATTATGAGAAAAAAATTACGACAGTAAAGAATTTTGAAATAAAGGCATGATATATTTCCAAAGTCTAACTCTATTTTGGCATGAAATGTTATTTTCAGAAATGTAATTATGGTTACTAGCGTCTCTTATATATGAGTTGAGGCTTTCCCCATTTGGTTGTAACGTTGGCTCTTTCTGGTAGTATCCATAGAAGCTAGTTTAATTGACCGAGCAGCCATAGAAATTATAGTTCCAGCGGGTTTAAGAACCGCTCCGCCTGTAGTCTGATTTATCCTTCTTTCTGCGGCCTTGCCTTCTTGAAGGGCTTGTTGGCATGACAGTGTATCATTAAAGATCTCGAACCAAATAATTTTGGACATTGTACCTTTGATGATAAGCATCTCTATTCCAATATCTCTAACTGTCAATTAATGGTTGTTTCTGCAGATACGACAATGACTCAGTTCATCTTGTTTGCATGGATTTCATWACATGGACCAATGAAAATGATGTTAGTTAGGATGGGAGAACTCTATCTTACAGTGATAATACTGGCTTGCTTTCATTATTCTGCACTGTCTGATTATCAAGGTATGAATTGCATTGCATCTCAAGATGGCGTTTGAAAATTGAGATGTCTCTTCTTATATTGCTTGCATATTAAACGTTGGTCTGTTACATAGCGTTAAACATTGTATATGCAAGGACAAATACTGTATATGCAAGTCAATGAGGGTGGTATAGGACTTCTTTATTTATTTTTAATCACTATGAAATTGAAGTTATTTTTTTGCAACTTCATATGTGTATCGCTTAGAGCTGCCAATAGAAAYGTATCTGATTCTTTTTTCAAATTTTCTTTTGATATGAAATGGACCATTCTTTTGTCACATGGAAAGCACCTTTTTCACCATTTTCCCATTTTTGCTTTATCATCTCTTTGTGGGATTTAAAAAAAGATATTTTGAAGGTATCAACAACTGTGAAAGCCTTCTTAGGATTAAATGGTTGAACGATCTAATTTTCTTTTCACTTCCTGATTATCTCTAGTTGTGAAAATTTATGAATAATTACTGTTGTACTGATATACTGTAATTGATTGACTGCTTGATGAATCTTGTTCTGCTCTCCTCCAGGTGATGCACTATTTGCATTGAAGAGTGCATTGAATGCAACAACAAACCAGCTCACAGATTGGAACCCAAATCAAGTCAATCCATGCACTTGGTCCAATGTTATATGTTATGGAAACAATGTGATCTCTGTGTAAGATATACTTAAAATGTACTATTTTCCATATGTTTCTCTTCCATTTTGTAATCATCTTGTAAGTGGTCGGATGATCTGTATTCTGTCTCTATGGTTATGTTTGTTTAACTCTGTATCATACTTTTTACTTGCCAATGGAAAAATTTTCAAGTCTGCTATTTGCTTATGTTGCATCCAACTTTTTCAGATCCTTGTCAACAATGGGATTTACTGGAACCTTGTCTCCGAAAATTGGAGTTCTAACATCACTTTCAACCCTGTGAGTAGTGCGTGCCTATGTGGACAAGAACTTGCAGCCCTGAATACTTGATATTTTGCAATTTAAGTGGATATTTAATTTTATTTCAAATTCTGGATTTTATATATCAGTATAATTTCGTTATACTTGTTTCTACAAAAATAAGTTATAATTCTTCAAACCAGGTGCTTCAACTCACTTAAGATCATCAATTTGGATAATAGCTTCATGTTGTTCGAGAAACAGAGGTTTATATTGCAAGTATATATAGTTTTCTTTTACTTTTTTTTTTTGCAAGTAAAATATAGTACTAAAACTCCATTATTGAAACTTGCTTTATATCATTGATTTACAAAAGAAATTGTATGTAAAAGATCAAAAGTCTACCATCAACTGAGATATCATATACTATTATTAGCAAAGCACTAAAAGTCCTGAAATTTACTAAGCATAAGATTTTATTCTTTAGTAATGTCAAACTGCTTGCGTCACTTAGTGTGACAATTTCTTTTAGTTTTCTAGCTTCAAGAAAGTGTTAGAAATTAGATCTCCTTATCTCTGATGACCTTAGCTCTTGAAAAATATATTATGATTTTTGGACTTTAAATTTGGTTCTCAAAACTGGTTTTTGAAGTACACCTTTACGGGAAATTACTGTAGACCATCTTCATTGATATACACCATCTACTCCAGGATTTTGCTGGGCAATAATATAACTGGCGAGATACCAGAGGATTTTGGAAACCTGAAAAATTTGGTCAGTTTGGATTTGGGAAATAACAGCCTAACTGGTCAAATACCATCTTCCTTGGGTAATCTGAAGAAACTACAGTTCCTGTAAGTAATTGGCTTCGAAATATCACAAATTTCAAAGGTGTTTTTTAGTGGCTGCAATGCCCATGGTTTATATTTGAGATAATGAGTCTTTATAATCATTCAAGCAGAACTCTTAGTCAAAATCATCTAACTGGGACTGTTCCTCAGTCACTTTCTAGCCTTCCTAGCTTGATCAGTCTGTAAGTTTTCTATTATGCATCTGAGACTATAAGCAAAAGTTTTCAGATTCTTGTAACTAAGTGTAAATTAGTTCTTAATGTCTTGTTTATAATTCTCCTGCAGTTTAGTTGATTTGAATGATCTCAGTGGTCCAATTCCGGAGCAGTTATTTCAAGTTCCAAAATTCAAGTATGTAGAACTTTTGAATGCTCTCAAGGTAGATATCTAAACACTGTGCACACCTGCACACTGATGCACCCTCACACACAAGCATGTGCCGTGCATACACATGCTTGATTCACCTATATTCATATTTAATGCGCATGCTAGATACCAGACAGATATATCGACTAGACATTTTAGCTGTTCTTCCTTTGGCTAGATGAAATGAAAGTCTAAGGGATCTTGGTCTTGAATTCCTGGCTGTAAAGCCTGTGTTATGTGTTTAATTGTCATATTGAATTCTTTCTTGTCAGATTTTAAGAAAGGGATGAGGGCTTGTTGGTTTTCTGCTTGAAAATGGTGAAAGCATCAACTTTTTTTCAATCATTACTTTTTGCTGGAAGAGAAGTTCTTTAGGGGTTTTTCTTTTTAAAACAATTATGTACTGTTTCCCATTAACTAAAGCTTCTTGTATCGATGAAGAAGCTATACAAAGGAAGAAACAGATCAACCCCCATTACATCTATTTTTTTTTCCCTGATAAAGTGAAGAAAAGGTACAACCCAAAATCACCGCTACTTCCTTTTGGGCGTTCACAAAGAGACATCGTAGCTTGAACTAATCACAAAAATCCACCCAAAATCTATGTTACATCCTAGCATGATCACCCACRACATTGCTGCTTGTGGGTGATCCTATAAAATTAAGAGCGTCAGGATTCTATAGACCAKTATTGCTAAATTGGAGCACTTGTCCAATTAAATCAAAGTTAAGAATGGTAGCACTTCCTTTTTCTAGTTGGGTGATCAGGTTGGTTAGAGAGGATTTTCTCATTTGTTCCCTAGGATGTTTATGTTATTTTCCCAGAGGATGTTGAATTGTATTGTTTTTCACAGCTTCTCTGGAAACATGTTGACTTGTGGCAAAAAGTATCCTCAGCCTTGCGCTTCAGACAGTACAAACTCAGGTTATTGGAGCAAATTTACCTTGGGCTTAGAGTAAAGTTTTTACTACATTTTTTATTAGGTAGCCATCCCTGTAACTGGAAGCAAATGTGAAAGTTTCCTCATCTTGTCAGGTTCTTCAAATAAGCCGAAGGTTGGCCTGATAGTTGGACTTATTGCTGGGTTTACCGTTGTTCTTCTCTTGGTCTGTTTATTGTTTTGCTTGTGCAAAGGTAGATATAAAGCCTACAGGCGTGAAGTCTTTGTAGATGTTCCAGGTAATTGTTATGACTATTTTTTAATTATTCAAATGGATTATGCAAACACCTCATGTGAAGGATAGGTTTCAAGGATATAATGTCAATGTTAATATGATTGTGTTCTTACCACACAAAATTTTATGCCAATTTTTAGTAGCATTTTCATTTATCAAGCACCTACCCAGAACTTCAATTGTTTTTGTTTTTATTTGACATTTGAAGCCTAGGCTATCTTATGAATTGTCATATCATTCAGGAGGCCATATGTACGGATATTTGTATATTTTATTGAATTTGCATTTTATTCATATACTTTGGGGTTTTAGGTGCCATTTTTTATGTGGTAATCTTGGTCGTCCACGGGCATTGGGAGTTCTACATTTACTTTGTATGAATGTAGAATAACCAGGAATCTCAAGATCTTAGGATGATTAGTTTCTCATGTTATTAATTCTCTGATGTATTAATACAGTCTGAAGTTTTTGGCCCACCGATCAACTTAATCATCTTTCGGATACATTTAGTGATTCATTAGTAATTTTACACATAAACACGTACTATTTCACATGTGAGCATGCTCAARCTGGAAAAGGGAATCAAAATACCAAACACTCCCCAAATGAACTGGAATTTAGTTTTGTTGATGCAAATATCTCTTAATGTTATTTTCTCCTGAAATTTCCAATCAGGTGAAGTTGATCGAAGAATTGCATTTGGTCAGCTGAAAAGATTTGCATGGAGGGAACTACAACTAGCTACAGAAAACTTTAGTGAGAAAAATGTTTTAGGACAAGGAGGCTTTGGAAAGGTGTATAAAGGGGTGCTTGCTGATGGCACAAAAGTTGCAGTGAAACGGTTGACTGATTATGAAAGTCCGGGGGGAGATGCTGCTTTCCAGCGTGAAGTTGAGATGATTAGTGTAGCTGTTCATAGGAATCTATTGCGGTTGATTGGATTTTGTACAACTCAGACAGAACGCCTATTGGTGTATCCCTATATGCAGAATTTGAGTGTTGCCTACCGTCTTCGAGGTATTGGGTCTTTTGGTTGTTTTAGATATGAAATTTGCAAAAAATCAAACATAACAGCAAAAGTACTTTAATGTTTACGTATTACTTTTTTGTGCATGTCTTTGGAATATCACAAACAAAGAGTGCATTAAAGATATACGTAATTAAGATGCTTTTTTACATTTAACTGCTTGCTGGAATTACATGTTAATAATATGTAKGTGGGGAAATGAGAGTGGAGAAGAGAATTTGTGGTAGACAGGTTGAGGATGTTATATTCAAGTAAAAGAGTGCATTCTACGAATAAAACTGAGGTCTAAGAGATCAATTGAGTGGTCAACTGCTTGAGTAGATCCTGGATGTGAGCAGAGGGAACATGTTGGTTGTAGAATATTTGTTTCCTGTATGCGAATTTGTGAAGTTCGAGCACCTGTATCTTCTTCATCTGATTATTGTGGACTTCTAATTTTACGAAAAATTTTCATTCTTACAATCTAAGACGTACCCCTACTGTGGAAATTCGCTCAGTGTTGAAGGACTTATTGTCTTGTGTCTTTAGAATCAGCATCATTTTCATAGTCTGTAACAACCAAATGTTCTGGCTTGTTTGTATTTATATACTGAATTAAGGAGTCTTGCAGCTTCTTTAGGAGCCAAGTTGGAAAAGCTTACAGACTTATCGAAATGCCTTAATGATAAAGAATTGCTACTTTTCTCAGCTAATTTCTTCGGTGATCTCCAATGCAGAACTTAAGCCGGGAGAACCCATTTTAGATTGGCCTACTCGAAAACGTGTGGCATTGGGCACGGCTCGTGGTTTAGAGTATCTTCACGAACATTGCAATCCAAAGATTATTCATCGAGATGTTAAGGCCGCTAATGTATTGTTGGACGAAGATTTTGAAGCAGTTGTTGGCGATTTTGGTCTAGCAAAGTTGGTTGATGTTAGGAAGACTAATGTCACTACCCAAGTTCGGGGGACGATGGGTCACATAGCACCAGAATACTTATCAACAGGAAAGTCGTCAGAAAGGACTGATGTTTTTGGTTATGGTATCATGCTTTTAGAACTAGTTACTGGGCAACGTGCAATTGATTTCTCGCGCTTAGAAGAAGAAGATGATGTTTTACTCCTCGACCATGTAAGTCGTTCTTGCCAAATCTAATCAGTATCTTTATTTCGAATCTACTTCCTTCTGTCTTCCTCGTAATAAATCCGCTAATGTTATTATTTCTGTCCATGCTAAAAAATTAGGATCATGTATTCTTGAATTATCATGTCTGAATTCTCACACTTTTTAGCCCATTTTCACTCCTCGGTTGCTAATTTTTGAGTTCATCATGGCTGTGAAGGTCAAGAAACTGGAAAGGGAGAAGCGGCTTGATGCTATTGTGGATCGAAACCTGAATAACTACAACATTCAAGAGGTGGAGATGATGATCCAAGTAGCATTACTATGCACGCAGCCGTGTTCAGACGACCGTCCGGCAATGTCACAGGTCGTTCGGATGCTCGAAGGAGAGGGACTGGCAGAGAGGTGGGAAGAATGGCAGCATTTGGAGGTGACTCGTAGACAGGAGTACGAGAGACTGCAGAGAAGATTTGAATGGGGGGAAGACTCCATTCATAGACAGGATGCTATCCAGTTGTCTGGAGGAAGATGAGGTACAAAAATTAGCTCAAATTCTCTTCCTTCTCCAATCTCTCAAGCTGTGAGAACATACAACAGTTATTTTTGGTAGGGTCAGTTTGATGGGGGGCCATCCTTAAAGCATTTTATACAAACTTCACCAGTTAAGAAATCCTTGCCTTTCCATCTCCAGTTTGTAAATTTTCAGTGTCTTTTGCTTTCATTTCTTGGCTGTTCATCTTTTTTGTAATCTTGTTTCCCCCAATTTAACATTTTCTGTTGCCGAACTTTGTAATACAACCAAGTCAACAAAGTGATCAAATTCATGTTTGGCATAAACATTTGCCGTGTGTTCCAGTGGTCAAATAGTTTTTTTTTCCCTTCGACTTTGAAGTGTATTTTTTATTTATACATCGTTACAAWTTTAGTTCCTGTACTTTGAAAATTAGATCTATTCCGTTCGTGGTTGTTGTTTTTAATACCCTCCTTAGTTATGTTATGTAACTCAAAAACACACACACAACAGGTTACGAAATTTGGTCAACTGTTTCGAAATTTCTCTCTTCCAACTCAAATTCGTCGTCATGTGGATTGTTTTACAACGATAATTATTTATTTAATCTTCTTTCTCTGGAATGATTGAATGGTTCATATTATAATGCTTTTACACATTAATTAACAAACGACTAATGAATGATGCAGCAATGGAGAAAATCTTATTCTTTTGCTCGGTTAATAAAGAATATATCAGAAAAATCTCTAGCAGTTAACAAACTGTCCACATGTACACAAATAATTGGAGTAAGCCCAAGGTTTATACTCTCTGGCTCACATTTGGAATTTTTTTAAATCAAGAGGAAAACTTAGACGTGCGATTCAACCTTTGGGCTTATCTTTTTATATTCAGCCCATCCTCTCATGTAGATTTTAGGTTGGGAGACTCGAGCTCATTTGAGTTAGGTGCAGTCCACTACTCGATCTAGTGCACAATTCAAGACACAAYCCAAAGTTAATTTACGTGAACTCGACTCACAGCTGGGTCCATGGGTCATGTCTAGTCTTATAAGACTAARTTTTGGCCTATTCAAATCATTTGAAAGGCTTGCTTTCGTYTTAGTTACAAACAAACTACTCCTCTCATATTTTTTTCCTAACTTGTTGGTAGATTGAGCTTCATTTAACCTATAATATCTTTTATTCTCAACACAAACAATTTCCAATACCATCTATGGTTTAAATTTTTACCCTAAATTTATAATTCTATGACTCAAAAGAAGTTAACTAAAAAAAGATGATGAAATATTAAAATATATTTTATCAATCAGATTTAATATGTAAATAGATACTCGATATAAATGTTGTTGTCCATTGTAATTAAAAGTAATTTAGAAAATATAGGGTTTGAAAGTTTCAAAGAAATTTCATTTTCCCATCGCGTAGGACCACACGTTCGAAGAAAAAAATAAATAAAACAAAAAGAAAAAGCAGTCAACGTCGACGACCCACAGATCCGAGTCCATGGCTAATGCACGCTCTGGGGCCCGCAAAACTGCCAGATCAGCATTTTGCCACCATGAAATGACATGACCGTAATAAATAAATAATAACGCCATGATTCTATCTATTTTATTTTAATTTTTAATATTTTCTTAAAGGATAAAGGCTTTTGCAATGCAAATGGCAGTAGATTTGCTGATTGTGCTGCAACGGCAACTTTACTTCACGCAGCRCTGAGATCCCGCCTTTTCTCCGCTTTCCAGTTCTTGCTCTGTTGATTTACAGCTCACAAATCCTGAGGATCATTTCATTTACGCTTTCCGCTGCCCAAAATCTACTTTTCACTCTCCACGGGTACTTTTTTTTTTTTTTTTTTATAATCTTCGATTATCTTCGAGTATTTCTCGTTTCTCTTCTGGAGTTTGTTGGTTTGTGGTTTGCTTTCTGATTCTTAGCTGTTTCTCCAGTGTTTTTCTTTTTCCTCATTTCTTAATCAATGATAATCTTTGATGAGAGCGATTTCGCTTGCGCAGAGGTAAGTGCAGATATCTGAAAATCTGAACCGTTGAGAGATTAGAGTTTGATGGAAAATTAGAGAATGAGAAAATTCCAAGTACTTGGTTTATCTTCGAAGTCTAAAAATGCTTTTGGTTTCATTGTTTAGCCTTTTTGGATATGGTTGAAGAGTTTCAGTAAAGTTTTCTTTTAGGAAACCGTAATGTTTAATTATTAAAAGCAAAAGATTCAACCCAACATGATTTTGTATATATTTTTGGTTTAGATTAAGATTGATAAAAGTCATTGATTGCTTACTAAGTATGGAAGAGAATTATGATAAAAAGATGAAACTTGAAATAAAATCATGATGTTCTTACAAAATTTAAAACAATTTTCCGATAAATTATTACTTTCAGAATCATGTTGTGTCTCCTATATAGGAGGTGAGGCTTTCCATATTTAGTTGTATCTTTGGTTTGTTAGGGTAAGTATCCAGAGTGGCTACTAGAGTTTWTTTTGTTGAACAATACCTAGTATTGGCCATTCGACTCCCATTTCCTATTGACCACTATTAAATTTTTGATATTATTACTTTAGAGTTTGTTTTGTTGAACAAAATTGATAAGCACTTACCTCCTGTTGAGCATTATTAAATTTTTGACAAGGAGGAGAGATGAATGAAGAAAGAAAGTTTTTTTTTTTTTTTTTTTTTTAACAAAAAAACTAAAAGAGCTATAAAACTTTTAATGGTGATAAGCACGAAGATGAGTGCTATACCTAAGTATGGTTATATTTTGTGGTTTATTCATGCGGACTAAGTAGTATCAAATATTTTGAAATTACAAATTAGCTGACTGGAGAATTACTTCCTATTGCTTCTTTTTTGAGATAGAAAGTAAACTTCCATGATAATGAAACTCATTGAATGAGTAAAGGAAAGATAAGATATCTACCTTTAACTAGATGCAGGAAAATTACTAAAACAATATCCAACAGACCCTAACTAAGGAGAGAGAATAATTATTTAATAGCCTTAGAAAGGCACTCCAACAGTCACCAAACAGGAATTCTTTCTAAAGACAGTTTTACACTCTCGTTCAAATGTCAAATAAGCACTACATGCTGGACATGAATATCTTAGTATTCATAATTAATGGAGGATGTCCACTTAGGARGCACGGACACCGATACGTCTGGACACGCTTCGGACATGTGTTCGACATGCCACGTGGCGTGTCCATTTTTTTTTAATTACGGACATGCCCCGGACACGCGGGGACACGTCCTGACACTGGGGGGACACGGCCCAACAGGCCTAGGCCCAAATTTTTTTGAATAAAAAAATTGAAAAAAAAAACTTAAAAAAAATCCTAAATCGTTCTCTTCTTCGTTTTGTTTGCTTTCTTTCTGCCTTCCACACCAAGTTAACAAAACCCTATCATCCTCTCGTAGTGGACCTAGTGGCGATCAAGATGAAGACATTGTGGAAGCTTGAGATGAGATGATGAAAGKTTTAGCTTTTGCTTGTATGAAAGACCGATTTTACTCCTTTTTAAATTTGAAGTGTAATGTAGGTTGGATAATGGATTTTGTAATGTTAAGTACATTTTTATTTGTTTTGTTCAATTTGTGTGGTTAATTTATGCAAAAGTATTACTATAATCAATTCATATGCATATATTATATAAAAATAAAATAACGTGTTTCCAACGTGTCCGTGTCCTATATTTTTAGAAATTAGCGTATCGTCGTGTCCGTGTCGTGTCGTGTCAATGTCCGGTGTCCGTGTCCGTGCTTGTTAGATGTCCGCCCCTCTACCTCTCCATCATTAAACTTTAGTTGGCTGAGCAGTCATTGAAATTGTAATTCCAGCAGGTCCAAAAACTGTGATGCTTGTGGTATGGTCTATCCTTTTTATCGCGGCCTTGCCTTCTTGGAGCACTTGTTTTCATGACCGTGTGCCATTAAATTCTTGTACCAAATAACTTTGGACGTATTACCTTTGATAATAGTATTCTCTCTATTCCAATTTATTTGATTGAATGGATGGTTGTTTTGCAGATATAACAATGACTCAATTCATCTTTTTTTCATGGATTTCATAACGTTGCTCAATGAAAATGGTGTTAATGAAGATGGGAGAACTCTATCTTACGGCTCTAATACTGGCTTGCTTTCATTATTTTGCGGTGTCTAATTTTCAAGGTATGAACTGCATTGCAAGGTGGCGTTTGAAAATCAAGATTCTCTCGTTATACTGCTGCTCATAGGCTTGTATCTTCTTCTTGATTGTCAAGAACAAATATGAATTCTTCTACGCAATTGAAGTTTGGTTTTTGAAACTGAATTTGTATATTGCTTAGAGCTGATAAGAGAAATGGTTCTAATTCTTTTTTCTCATTTTCTTTTGATATGATACAGACCGTTCTTTTTTTTTTTTGTCACATGAAAGGCACCTTTATCACCATTTCCCCTTTTTTGCTCATTTATATGTGGGATTGTGGAAAAGATGGTCGGAAGTTATCAACAAATGTGAAAACCTATTTTTTCTATAAAAAAGAAACAAATGGGAAATCCTTTTGACATTAAATCGTTAAATAATGTAATTTTCTTTTCAATTCCTGATTATATCTATTGTGAGAATTTATTTATAAATGCTATTGTACTTATATTCTCTAATTGCTTGACCACCTGATGAATCTTGTTCTGCTCTCCTCCAGGTGATGCACTCATTGAATTAAAAGATGCACTGATGGCACCAAGTAGCCAGCTCAGAGATTGGAATCAAAGTCACATCAATCCATGCATTTGGTCCTATATTATATGTAGAGAAGACAAAGTGATTTCTATGTAAGATATACTTAAATGTTCTCTTCTCCATATTTTCCTTTTCCATTTTGGAATAATCTTGTAAGTGGTCTGATACCATGTCTATGTGATTATGTTTATTTAATCTGTATCAAACTTTTTACTTGCCAGTTGCCAGAATAAAAGATTTCAAGTCTGGTATTTGCTTATATTACTTCTAACTTTCTCAGATCCTTGTCAACGATGGGATTTACTGGAACCTTGTCTCCGAGAATTGTTGTCCTAAAATCACTTTCAACCCTGTGAGTGGTGTGTTATTTTGTAGACTAGAACTTGCTGCCCTCAATACTTGATGTTTGTGCAATTTGAGCTAGATGTTTGATTGTACAAATTTTGGATTTTATAAATTAGTGTAATTTCATTGTCATATTTTTTTCCCCTAAAAATAAGTTTTAATTCTTCAGACCAGGTGCTTAGACTTACGTAAGGTTTCCTATTTGGATAAAAACTGCATGTTGTTCGAGAAAGTTTTATTTTGCATGTATGTATAGTATTAAAATTCCATAAGTGGAACTTTCTTTATATCATTGATTTACAAAAGATTGTAATATAAAAGATCAAACGACTACTACCAACTGAGATATACTATTATCAACAAAACACTAAAAGCTTGCTTAATAGCTGCAGAACTGTTTTGTACCTGAAATTTACTAAGCATTAGAAGAGGGGTCTAATTGCTTGGGTCACACTTAATCTGACATTTTCTTTTAATTTTCTAGTTTTAGGAAAGTGTTAGAACTTAGACGTTAGCTATGCTTATCTGTGGTAACCTTAGCTTTTGAAACGCATCTTACGATTTATTTGACATTAAATTTGGTTCTCAAAACTGGTTCTTGAAGTACATCGCTTATTGGCAATGAAGTGTAGGGCATCTTCATTATTATATATTCATCTACTGCAGAATTTTACGGGGAAATAACATAAGTGGAAATATACCAAAGGAATTTGGAAACCTGACAAATTTGGTCAGATTGGATTTGGAAAATAACAGCCTAACTGGTCAAATACCATCGTCGCTGGGTAATCTTAAGAAACTACAGTTCCTGTAAGTAATTGGCTTCAAATTATCTCAAATTTCATAGATATTTTATGAGCATCTGCAGTGCACATGGTTTATATTTGAGATAATGAGTCCCTATTATGATTTGAGCAGAACTCTTAGTCGAAACCATATTACCGGGACTGTTCCTGAGTCACTTTCAAGTCTTCCTAGCCTGATGAGTCTGTAAGTTTTCTATTATGCATCTGAGACAATAAGTGAAACTTTTCAGATTCTGGTAAGTAAGTGTTCTTCCGTTCTTAATGTCTTGATTATAATTCTTCTGCAGGCTAATTGATTCGAATGATCTCAGTGGCCAAATTCCGGAGCAGTTATTTCAAGTTTCAAAATTCAAGTATGTGGAACTTTTGAAAACTATAAAGGTAGATATCTAAACACTGTACACACATACACACCTATGCACAACCCCCACACGAGCATGTGCATTTGCATGCACATGCGCGATGCACCTATATTCATATTTCATGCCTATGCTAGATAACTGACAGATATATCACCTAGACGTCTTGGCTGTTCTTGAATTAGCTGGAGGACATGAAAGACTAAGGAATCTTGGTCTTGAATTTGTGGCTATAAAGCTTGTAATAAATTGTCATATCAAAGTCATTCTTGTCTGATTTTAAGAAAGGGATTGAGGAGTGGGTGTATATTTTCTTTACCCTCAACAAAGACATAAGGAGAAGTTTCGATAGTCCAAAAACTTGAGTTGATAGGCTGTGGTAAATTTACTCTTTTAAATATATACTCACCAATTACCTTGAGCCTCAATAATAGAAATCTCTATTATGAGAGAGATTACAAAGTTCAGAAGTTTGATAGCTATGGTTACTTCACACTAATGAGAAATTTTAATTTAGAAATCTCTCCAACTGCCTTAATCCAAACCAGTGCTGCCTCAGGATGTTAAGAAAATACTAACCATCTCTTTAGTTGTTTCCTTTTGGTGGTGGTGTTTTAGTCTAAATTGCTGGATCTTTTTAATTTATGTTGGGCGTTCCCTAGATGTGTGGCTGGTCAGAAGTTAAATTGCAAGAAGGTGCTGTGGTCAAATGCATTTGGTGCTATGCTTTGGAATGTTTGGCTAGTGTATAATAGAATAATCCTTCAAGAAGAGAAGACATGATTATCTAATTTGGTTCCTCTTCTTGGTGTTCAAAACCTAATATTTTTTGTAATTATTCTCTCTGTTTTGATGACAGATTAGAGATCTGTTTTTGTAGCTCATTGGCCCTTGGCAGTGCTCTCTATGAATGAAATTTTGTTTCTTATAAGAAAAGGGGAATTTAAGAAGAACTAGAAAGTAAATACTAAGAGAAAGGCTGAAACTTGGCGAACCTCTCCTCAGTCTCTACCCCCCTTGTTGTATATCTAAAACTCCTATCTGACTCAACAACAGGATTCGTGTGTTTGCTTTAACTTCGTTCATCTAGAAAACATTTCTTCGTCCTCCACATTTCTGGCTGCATTACTGATGTTCCTCAGTTTCTATGGTTCTTTACTATGACCACACCAGGCTGGGCTTGAAAAGTAATTTTGGGCATCTTTCTGCAACCTTTTTGCCGTGTTAGGATCCTTGTGGCACACCGTCCAGCAGGAAACTTGACTTTTTTGAGCCCTCTGCCTTTTCAAGTTTCATTTCCCTGGATGGAAGTTGATGTAGCCGTATATGACCTTGAATGGCTTATTAAGTCTTAAATTTAGTCTATAGTTGTAATCCTTTTAAAAATATCCTTTTACTGTGTAGTAACTCCAAGTTACTATTAGTTTGTTGGTTTGGATCTCTCTATAAATAGGGATCCTCCTCATTTAATTGAGATATTCTTACTTTCTTTGAGTTTACTCTCCATCAGAAGTCTTTTTAGTCAAGTTGATTTTAGTATCTTCCCATTTTATCCTCAGCCAGAATTCTCCTAGCCAAAATTCTTCATGATTTGGTGTTCTCCTCCCAAGCATCTTCTAGCGTAATATCATTCGGGTCTGGAAGCCCAGAGAACTGGGAAATCTTTGCATTTGTTTGCATTAACATCAAGAAACTGAGGAGTATCTTTCGGCTCTGACGTGGAAAAATTTCTCCATTACATTTATCCCTCCAATGATGGGTCCGGTAGAAGCCCAAATCAAGGCATTATACTAGTAGAACTGTACATCTTCCACTCAAACGAAAATCAGTTTCAATGCATTTTGAATTAGGAACTAAAGATGCTAATTAACTCGTTCAAGGAAGTCTCGACTCCAAGAGTTCAGCAAACAAAAATTCCACCTCTTTTCCATTTGATTTATCCATTTAAATACACTGCTATACAAAATAAAAAAGAAAAAAAGGAGTCAGAATCACCAAAAATTCCTAAAATAATTAAACCCATATATCTCCTATAATAAGGCAATAGGAAACTAATAACCAATGAACTTATCTTCAAAAGTTCTCTTGTACGCTCCTATCAAAATAAAGTTCTCTTGTACATCAAAACGAGTAGCCGTAATCAAAGTACAAAAATCACTATCACAATTACTACTTTTGAGTAGATCTTATATTGCAATGTAATTGCTATTGTCATCAACATCATTCTACTGATTTTGACCTTCAAAATATTTTGATTTCTTTTGCTTGTCACAGCTATTCTGGAAACAAGTTGAATTGTGGCAGAAATTACTCTCATCTCTGTGCTTCAGACAGTACAAACTCAGGTTATTGGATCAGATTTACCTTAAGCTTAAGAGAAAAGCTTTTACGTCATCTTGATAACTTAGCCACCTTAACTGGAAGCAAAATGTGAAAGTTTCCTCATCTTGTCAGGTGCTTCAAATAAGTCGAAGGTTGGCCTAATAGCTGGACTTATGGCTGGGTTAACAGTTGCTCTTCTTTTGGTCGGATTATTATTTTTCTTGCACAAGTATAGATATAAAGCCTACAGCGGTGAAGTCTTCGTGGATGTTACAGGTAATTGTTCTTGGCTATCATTGAATTATTAAATGGATTATGCAAACATCTCTTATGAAGCCTTGGTTTTAAGGATATAATATCTATGTAAGTATGATTGTATTCTTGCCACAAAACTGTTTTTGCCAATTTTTAGTAGCATACTAAATTGTTTGAGATCATTATAAAAGTGCCTTGTAGTTACATATTAAATCTATTTTTCCCAATTGGATCCATGACAAACTTCAAGAACTAGTTTCTCACGTTTTTAACTCTTTGATGTCTTATTARTACGGTCTGAAGTTTCTGCCTCACTTATCAACTTAACCATCTTATGTCTTAAATGACATTTCTGGATACTTTCACTGATTCATTAGTAATTTTTCACTAAACACGTACCAATTCCTCATATGAGCGTGCACAAGCTTGAAAACGGAATTCCATACACCTCCCCCCCATCCGAACTGGAAGTTTTGTAGATGCAAGTATCTCTAAATGTTTCTTTTCCTATGAATCTCCCAATTAGGTGAAATTGATCGAAGAATTGCATTTGATCAGCTGAAAAGATTTGCATGGAGGGAACTACAGCTAGCTACCGAAAACTTTAGTGAGAAAAATGTTTTAGGACAAGGAGGCTTTGGAAAGGTTTACAAAGGGGTGCTTGCTGATGGCACCAAAATTGCAGTGAAACGTTCAACTAATTATGAAAGCGTTGGGGGAGATGTTGCTTTTCTGCGTGAAGTTGAGATGATTAGTGTAGCTGTTCATAGGAATCTCTTGCGGCTGATTGGCTTCTGTACAACTCAAACTGAACGCTTGTTGGTGTATCCCTTTATGCAGAATTTGAGTGTTGCCCACCGTCTTCGAGGTATCCAGTCTTTTGGTTGTTTGTATATGAAATTCGCAATAGTTGCTCTAGGAAAACTCACAAAATCAATTTTTTGTATTTGAGCAAAAATACTTCAATGTTCACATATTAGATGATGCTGTTTTGAGCATGCAAGCATGTCTTTGGTTTCTTGTTTGAAAAACATATACAAAAGTCTTGCAGAATACAGAGCATACAAGCTATTTAATTCACATGGAATTTAGCCAAATGTTATTGTAATGCCTTTTTTCTTTTTTTTTTCCCCTTCTTTTTTGAAAAAGGTTATTGTAATGTCTTACTGGTAAAGAATTGCTTATTTTCTTAGCTAATTGCTTTAGTAATCTCCAATTCCAGAACTTAAGCCTGGGGAACCTATTTTAGACTGGCCTACTCGAAAACGTGTGGCATTGGGCACAGCTCATGGTTTACGGTATCTTCATGAACATTGCAATCCAAAGATTATTCACCGAGATGTTAAGGCTGCTAATGTATTGCTTGACGAAGATTTTGAAGCAGTTGTTGGCGATTTTGGCCTAGCAAAGTTGGTTGATGTTAGAAATACTAATGTCACTACTCTAGTTCGGGGGACGGTTGGCCACATAGCTCCAGAGTACTTAGCCACTGGAAAGTCATCAGAAATGACCGATGTTTTTGGTTATGGTATCATGCTTTTGGAACTTGTTACAGGGCAACGTGCAATTGACTTCTTATGCCTAGGAGACGATGTTTTACTACTCGACCATGTAAGAAAATCTTATCAAATCGCTCTCTTCATTTGAATCCAATTCCTCTTCATGACAAATTCAATTAGTGCTATTATTCTTGGTTAAACGTGCATAAATTTTGGCACATGTCTATGCTAAAAGAATCATGCCCCGATATCTCCAACTCTTTTAGCCCATTTTCACTGCTAAGTTTTGAGCTCATTTTGGTTGTGAAGGTGAAGAAAATGGAAAAGGAGAAGCGAATCAATACTATCGTCGATCGAAACCTGAATGACTACAACATTCAAGAGGTGGAGACGATGATCCAAGTTGCACTCCTGTGCACGCAGTCATGTTCAAATGACCGGCCAGCAATGTCGCATGTGATTCGAATGCTGGAAGGAGAGGGACTTGCAGAGAGGTGGGAAGAATGGCAGCATTCGGAGGGGACTCGCAGACAAGAAACTGAGAGACTGSAAAGAAGATTTGAATTGGGGGAGTACTCCATTCATAAACAGAATGCTATTCAGTTGTCTGGTGGAAGATGAGGTATCTAACTTAAAACTCTCTCCCTCTCTCTCTATCATCTCTCAAGCTATGAGAATATATGACGGTTGGGGTCCAGTTTGATGAGGGCCCATCCTTAGAGCAGTTTTATACAGAGAGATAGAGAGCGAGTTTGTAAATTTCAGTGGCTTTTGCTTATATTTCTTGGCTGTTCTGTGCATCTTTTTGCAATCTTAGTTTCCCCAATTAAACATGTGCTGTGGCTCAACTTTGTAATACAACCAGGTCCATAAAATGATCATATTCGTGTTTGCAGTTAAAAGTTCTAATACATCTTCGGTTTAGAAACCGTAATCTTGATAGTATTTGTTGCTAATATGGTCGACTAAATGATGATGCAACCAACATGTTTATTAGACAAATATTGACTAATAATTTAACACAGCGTAACGGATAAAAAGTATAATATAGTAAAATGAATCTGCCGAAATCTATTATTTATTTCTTCAGTTCTTTGTATTAAGTTGATTCTACCAAAAGGCTCACGTGGTTTGGCTGTTCAAGCATTTGCGTTGGAACATCACCTCTGACTCTTTCCCTTTCAACTTAGATTCGTCAAGATTGGGTTACATTACAACGCCACTTCTTTCACARTTTATATTATAATGCTTTTACTTGTCAATTAACAAACCAGTCAACATTTTGCCATAAATTTCACATGTTATAAATATGATAGATAGATATATATTTTGGAATTTTTATCCTTTTTACGTGGGTTATTCAATCTTCACTTTCTATTTACGAAGTATTATTCTAAATAAAATAAAAAAAAAGAAGTTATTATGCTAACCTTATATGCATTATGTACATCAAATAATTCACCAAAGTTCATATGACATGATGTTTTGAAACACTTCTCTTCTAAGCACCTTTGGGGGAAACAATTATGAAGGGTTTTCTTTAAGAGAACTCTATGTACTTTTTAAGTACTAATTTTAGAATTTTTAAATTACTTTTGACTACTTAACTAAATTTTGTGAAAAATGATTTTGATGGGTTAACAACACTTTTTTGTCTTTTGAAAAATTATTCCAATATTTTTATTTTATTTTTTTTGGAAATCAACTATATGAATATGATTGCATGCATGACATTAACTTGTTCACATTTAGGCAAAATCTCTCTCTCAAATCTAAGTTTGACTCCCAACTTCTCTCTCTCACAAATCCAAGTTTGACTCCAAAATTTTCAAATTGTCCTCATTGAACTTGGGCCCCACTTCTATTTTTTTAGCTAGTTCATTGGTAACTTTTCTAAGTTCTAAGAATCTATATAAGATAATAGGTTCAAAACATTTTTAGTCGCTGAAATAATAATGTAGTCTCTAAACTTCAGTTTGTAACGATTTAGTCATGTATTTGCAAATTGATAACAATTTAGTCTTTGAACTTTAATATGTAACAATTTAGTCATTGTAATTTAAAGTTGGTAATGATTTAGTCCTTATTGTGATTTTTTTTTGTTAAGTTTATTGTATGTATAGATTGATAAACTAAAGAGGGATCAAATATGTTTATGAATTAGAACGATTAAATTATTATATTATAAAATTTGAGACTTAATTTTAATAAAAAAWTTTTACGATAGGGACTAAATTGTTACTAATTTTAAGTTACRGGGACTAAATCTTTACAAGTTAAAGTTCAAGGACYAAATTGTTACTTTAGAGAAAATACAGTAACTAAATTGTTACAAACTGAAGTTCAGGGACTAAATTGTATTTTAGTGAAAGTACATGGACCAAATGTATTTTTTAACCTAAGATATATAGATATATATGTACAACTCCTCTCATCAAAATTATGAAATTCTATGAATATTTAGATGTATTTCACAAACTCATCTTCAACCAGCCAATCTAAAATTTTATTTTTTCTAACMAAATCCCAATCTAAAAAAATTTCAGTTATTATGTATTCCCTATGTATCTGCTTCAATCTCGAACACCCCAACTACGATCTCAACTCTCCTCTTTTAAAAAAAATCGAACTTTTTGATATTTATCAAAATGAACTTTTTGAAAGTACAGATATCAAAATGAATTCAATARAGTCGAAAGTGCATGAACCATAAAATAATATTTAAACCAAAATTATTCTAATTAATTATCATTAGGTATTCCACAACCCCTTATGTTGGATCGACTCCAACCTTGGCCCTTGGCTGAAGTCATAGAGTATATAATTATCTCAAACAATTTTCCTGATCTTTATAWGGATAGTTAAAAACGTAACTATCAGACACGACTATACCTCCATCAAAGGAACCCAAAAAGGCATCTTTGACCTCACAAAAAAGGAATAATAAACAACTTCCATGRATAATAATCTATATATCAAGATATCTCAAAATCAACGTCATGCATGCAATCATAATAATTTCTACGAACTAATTAATGACGTAATATAACTTCATAAGAAAAATATATGTAATATCCAAAACATATATATAGCAAACCAAAACCTTATCTGGCTTCCAATTGGTCCGAATAGCACATTAACACTCACGAGAACATCACCCTTAATTAATTTAAAATCTTACCATTCAAACCCTAAATTTGTCCTCAACTTTGATTTTATTTTGAACAACTTTTTCAGTCTTTGATTCTTATGGAACCCGTGAACTTATTCATCCCTTGCTCTTCAAATTCTTGTATATATACAACCCCATCTCATCACCACAAAATTAACCTCCCAATAATCTTTCAAGAATAGATCTCTTCAAAACTTTTGAAGCATCATCTCTCTGATCCAAAATCTAACATTTGTACGAGGTAGGTAGTTTTGTTGGCAATAATAATGTCGGTTTCTTTAGAAGCYTTGGCAATGGCGGGGATGGATTCCAATGAGTGGGCTGTGGATGCTGAGGAATGGGAAAGATATGAAATGGAGAACCATGTTCCGCCTCATTTATTGGCAGACGAGGATGAGGACGAGGACGAGGAGGAAGTAAACGTGACAAGTACGACGACCGACGTCGGATTCTTTGGGAAAAATGGCAGAGGTGACGGAGGCCATTGCTTTTGGGGCATTCTCTGTAATATGAGCAGAAGCATAGAGAAGAAGGCTTATGATGGGCTGAACTCAGAGAGAATAATGGTTAGAGCTATTTTAGGGTTTCTGATGGTGATGACAATCAAGATAATAACTGCGAACAGATCCAAGTCTTCTAACAATAAGTGACGGATATGATTTTTTTTTTTTTTGAGTTGTGATTAATTATTTTATCGACTTTTTCATCAATTGTTTGATGTTATTCAGATAAAATGGTATAGGTTGTATTTATTACCATTGTTATTTCTCAAATTGACGATACATTGTATTCATGAGAAGTGTTTAGAGAAATTGGGAATATGAAAGTTTTTTGTAAGTACGTGTCCGGACCAATTTGCACGTTTTTATAATTTTCTGTGAAGGACAACGGTACGGTACCCAAGTATATGTTCATCCAAAAAGTCTCATCCCAATGGAGATAATTGTCATCTCTTATATATTCATGATCGTTCTCTGYCAACGTGGGACATTGTTTACAATCACCTTACAAACCTAACATTTTCTAGAAAAAATTTTCTAGAAAAAGGAAATCATATTAGGAAGAAAATGCTGAGATCTCACATTTATTTTCTTGAATAATTCTAGATGAAAAAATATTTTAATACTTATCAGACCTTTTATTAAAAAATTGACATGAATAAAAACAGAGAGAATATATATCTTTTCTTTCTTAAAAATAAATAATTTTCAAATTTTTTAATAATAGCGGGTAGAACCATAAGAACCAAACTATAAAATCTTATAAGTAAGTTCACGGCGAGGAATGATTTGGAGGGTAGAGAAAGGAAATGGATTAGTTAATTAATTAGAACAGTAAGCAATTTAGATTCTTTTGTTTACCAATCCAATCCGATGGGATTCAATAAATATGTGTTCGATAGATTTGTTTTTTAAAATTATTTTCGAATTTTATGATCTGGAAATTTTCAAAGCTTTAAATTTAAAAATTTAAAAGGTTAAATTATACTCCACACTTAGGATAAATATACTGTTTCATGTTTTAAACTCATTTTATTTTTGTTAAAATTAAAAARGTAAAATATAATATTATTATAAATTATATAATATTGTAAAATAAAAATTCTACAAAATTTGTAACAAATATGTTAATAAATTAATTAATATTATTTTAGATTAAACTAAATATTTAATAGGGCAACTGCAAATATAGCAAAATATTTATTAAAGTTAGTAAAATATAGCAACCACATCTCGTTTTTTCAAATATATATAACATTTTTTTTAAAAGAAAACGGAAGTCCAATTTGAAAAATGACAGCTTTACCAAAATAATATATATCTATAGTATATATGTAATATATCTAACTATGGTATATGTATGTGATATACATCTGATATACCTACTGACATGAATATATATATATATATATATATACATACATACATATACAGATAGGTATATATTATACATATACATATATATATATACTACTGATATAAGTAAAAATTTGTACTATATTTGAAAATTTTAAAAAACAAGTTTTTGTTACCAATTGCAATTTCCCATATTTAATTGGTAACTGCCCACTAATTTGCAAATATGTTACTATACATCTCGAACAATTTTTAAATATGCTTCCAAAAATTAACACATATCTGGACAATATTTTGTTTGGAAAAAGTTACAAGTCTTGAATCCATCAAGAACTAACGTCATGCATGGTATAATACTGTTACGAACTAATGACGTAATAAGTTTACAAAAATATGCATTCAGAAACATTTATCTATCCTCCAACTGGTGCAAATAGGACATTACATTCACGAGAACATCACCCCATTTTTGTTCTTAACTACCATTCAAACCCTAAAATTTGTTCTCAATTTTGAACAGCCTTTTCAATGTTTGATTCTTATGGAAAACCCGTGAAGAACTTATTCAGCCCTTCCTTCACACCCACGTATTGTTCTTCAAATTCATGTGTATATATATATACCAAAAAAATCATCACCTTCACCACAACCCCAATAATCTTTCAAAAAATCTCTACAAAAAAGAAAAATGGTTTCTTTAGAAGCTTTGGCCATGGCGGGGATGGATTCTGATTTGTGGGCTATGGATGCTGAAGAATGGGAAAGAAATGAGACCGAGAATCATGTCATTCCGCCGCATTTGTTAGCGGACGAGGATGAGGACAAGGACAAAGAYGAGAGAGACATGACGAGTACGACGGGTAACTGTAAGTTTCCGGCCGTTGGATTATTCGGCAGCGGGCGGAGGAAAGATGACGGTGCTGGTGGTGTGTACTGCTTTCCGGCGATTATGTGCCAATATTTCAGAAAAAGCATAGAGAAGAGAGCGTGGAATTTTCTGAGGTCAATGGGAACAATGGTGGGAGCTATTGTAGGGTTTCTTATGGTGATGACTACGAAGATAATAACTTCACAAGGATCCAAGTCCTAACAACTGATGAATATATAATATGAATGCTATCGGATTTTTTATCCTTTAAGATTGAAATATGTCCCTTAATTATATCGAGGTTCGTTTAATTTGTAACTAATTTTAATCTTACTAATGATAATAGATGTATAACTGAGCTGTGCTCAAATCAATGTGCACTAATTTTTTTTTTTTTGAATTAAACCATACCCTTGTAAACTTTTTAACAATAGTCAAACACTTTTGTAACTCTATTATGAATCGTTTGAATCTTCTTCCTATCCTATATAGTTGTATCTTTTAAATTTTCACTTTTTTTTTTTAATTTTTCAGAATCGATATCGTCTAGTTTACACTAATGAATCTTTATAACTAGGATTCGTTGTCTGGGACAGAGTGCTATCGATATATAAGGCTTCATGTTCCTTTGCTACTATGTCATTAGAGGAGAATTTCTAAAATTATCTTTAAATGTTTGTATGACATGTTGATATTTTCATAAATTATTAAACATCTAGTTAGAGTRTTTTATTATTGACATTAGGCATGATGAGATTCTTTTTAACATATTTTTAAAGTAATTTTTTTTTTCAATACAACACCCAAAAGCCTTTAAGTTTCAACTTAGGGTTTCTAACTCCAAGAACTTGATTATGAYGACCCACAATCTATATGCAAGGACTTTAATTTCAACTCCTCTTATATAATAGCACAAGGCATRCCTTCTAAGCTTTGAAAGGGTGACTCAACATTTTTTAGTACAATAACATCGTAGACMGATAAAATCGAACCTAACACATAAGTTGTGGGGTAAATTTGGGATGGGCCTAGGTTAGAAGGGAGGAAGAAAGAAGTCCAAATCTATAAGTCCAATGGAAGCACGGGACTCGGTCCACCAAGATCCGACACTCGATCGACTGAGGTTGCGGTCGATTAGGTCTCGAACTGTCGACCAAGTCTTGGACAACTTCCGTCCGATGTCCCACAAAGATGGGCCCGAACCCATCTTGATTTGATAGAGTTCCACAACGGGTTGATGACTGTTTCCATCAATTCAACATCTGACCCATGATGATGTCTACATTGAAGTCGAGAGAGTTAGGTCTCATGCGAGTACAAAGATTCAAYCTCTATAAATRGAAGGAAATATTGAATCWAGAAGTATGCAAAAAGAACTTTAAGATCATGTGTGGCTAGCTAGCACCATACAGGTGTTCAATATTTCTTTGTTTTGYAGGTCAATGTTGAGTTCCTGTAGTGCAATATTTGGTTAGCAGATCGATCCAAATTTACATATCGACAATCCACAAAATGCTACTAACTTAACCATAAATAATGAAAATTAAAACAACTTTAAGGTATCCATTTTACCATTTATTCAAATTTAGGGTTTAATAAATTGGATAAAATTAAAAAACTTTTAAGGTCAAAATAATTGATTCAAAAGAAATTAGTAGTATACAMTCGATAAGAAAAATGATTAAGTTCTCWCTTATTTTTTTCTGATATATTTTCACTTAGAAAATCTTTCGCATAGGGTCAATGCTTCTCGATTATTGGGACTTAATTATTATTTTTACTTTATTTAAGATCAACGAAGCTTAATGATGAACGCAGCCATTGCAGACCTTCAAAAGTATGGTTTGAAAAAAAATGAAAATATTATAATTATTAGTTAATTAATAGAGAACTCATAGAGAATATGAAGTTCATGCTTTTTTGGTCGTTGATGTAATTTTGCTCTGGATTTGAGATATATATCAATTATYGTTAAACTACATTCGCTTTGACATTTAATTAGTTATCAGTTAATTGTGGCGATTTAATTAGTTAGATTGATGAGTACATTTAAAATTATTAATCAAMTATCGATAATTAATTTATAAATATATCTATCATAGCTAAATTGGTTGAAGATATATATTATTAATAAAAAAATTAAACGTTGGAATCTTCTACTCTCACTTGTTGCTCAACTTTAAAAGAAATTATTAATATATTTCATGTCAATTAAATTTTGGCACAATTATTTTTAATCTGCAATGGTTTGCTATTTGGTTAGGTAGAGTTGGTTTATATATATATATATATATATATATATATATATATATATTAGTGCATGGTGAGAAATTCAAATTCATGACTTTTGAAAAATCAATTTTTTTTTTTGTTTTTGAGACAAAGTAAAATGTGTGTTTTATATATTCATTAAACATTTAAACTGATAAACTATTATACAGAAATTTACACCAGACACACGAGACACGTTTTTTTGAGTAGATACGACTTTTATGTTCTTCTCACAAAAATTATACTTATATATTATGTCAAGCATTTTCTGAATAAATATAATATAATATAAATTGCAATAATTCCCAACTGCTTGGGTCTCAATTCTCTTAAAAGTCTGGGATATTTATTTATTTATTATTATTATTTWTTATTTGGTTGTTTATGTCAGTGGATCTCATTCATCAAACTCAAACATAAGACCTCATGATCCACTTAAGAGACGACATATTTTTATCTAAAAAGAAAATTACATTGCATTATAATTTATCCCTACTACTACCCATCGTCTTTAGTTTTAATTCTTCTAGACTACAGTTGAGGGGTTTGAGAATATAATTTTTTTCTTTGTTTTCTTTTTTTGAACCATTTTTATTCTTTTATCCTAGATTGTTGGCAATGTTTAATTCTTTTTTTCTTTTTTATTTTTTGACAAGAATGGCTTGGTCTACTCCCTTTCTTTTAAATTCTTACCCACAGTGTGAAATTTTTGAAAATAAACAAAACAAAATAAAATAAAACTTGAACAAATAAAGATGAGACATTTATAATTGGAGTGTTGACTTTTTGCCGTTTTGGATCCAAATTGAGTGGTTTGGTTAATGAAGGGTTGAAATTTTTTTATTTTTACTAACCCAATTTGGAAATTAATTAATTAATAATTTGTGGAATATTTAATCCAATGAAGCTTCAAATTCCTTTTCAAAGCCCAAAGCTGTTTCAAGTGTGAACAAGAAACATGAAGAAAGTGCAGGCTTTGCCCTCATTAATTTAATTATTTCAGTCATTTTTCAAACATTTCTCGTGTGTGATACCAAAAACTTTATATTATAAAAGTTCTACAAATTCAACGGCATAAGCTGTAGTAAATTCTAGATACAAATAATAAATTTAAAAGAGTGGATGAAAGAAAGTATTTTAAAATAAAAATCATAAAAGGCCAAAAAAAAAAAWWAWWAAWWAAWYC